CATGCTAAATTGGTACTGTATTCAGACAGAAAAAACTTGAGTGCATCTGTCATTTGCTCAAAGCACTCACTATTGTGGTTAATGGGTTTGGTGTTGAGGGATGTTTAATGAACCAAAGATGCAGAGGTAAGACGAGCACACAGGATGATTGATGCCGGACAGAGGGCTACAGCTCGCTCAGGCATGTAGCAAACTCTGCACTCTCACCATTGCTTTTATTGGGGTTTGGTAATGGTTAGTGTGTCAGTAGTTAACAACTAAATCTTGTTTTGTTCTGTATTACTACAATAGCATATTAAAGACAACTTGCAGCTGTGCCCTCCCTTTCTGCTCTACACCCACAACTATTTAAATCTTATCCTTTCTCAGGGAGGTAAATGTTCTTCCCCAGCGGCGCTCCCCCTTCTCTCCTTCGCCTCTGGGGAGGAAGGAGGGAGGGAGGAAAAGAGGATTAGCATATGACCTAGCAATCCTACTTCTGGGTATATATCCAAAGTCACAGAAAGCAGTGTCTGGAAGAGATATTTGCATACTTATGATCACAGCAGTATTTATTCACAATAGCTAAGAGACGGAAGCAACCCAAGTGTCCATGGGCAGATGAATGAGGAAACATACAATTGCTGTATTCAGCCATGAAAAAGAAGGAAATCCTGTCACATGTACCACATTATGCTAAGTGAAATAAATCAGACACAAAAGGACAACTACTGCATGATCTCACTTATTTGAGGTATCTAAATAGTCAAACAAGTAGAAAGTAGAATGGTGTTTGCCAGGAGCTGGGAGGAGGGGGAAGTTTACTAGAGAGAGACTTCAGTTGTGCGAGATGAAAAAGTTCTAGAGCTGTGTTGCACAACAGACTGAATATACTTAGCACTACTGAGTTGGACATTTAAAAATCGTTAAAGTGATACATTTCATGTTATGTGGTTTTTTAAAACCTCATTTGAAAAAAAAGCTCCAAATTGATGCTTCATCCTTTAAAAGGAGAAGCCAAATCACCTTCCCTTGAATGTGGATTGGATTTAATAATTTGCTTCTTTTTTAATTTATTTTTATATTTTTTTAAAATTTCTTTATTGATTAAGGTATTACATATGTGTCCTTATTCCTCCATTCCCCCCCAATACTCTCACTCATGCCCTCACC